ATGTTTTTTTTATCTAAGAAGATATAGTTATAAAGTATTTTATTACTTCAAAATTATATTTTATGTTATTTAAAATATATTTAAATTAAATATTACTATTTTGTGAACTTTCCATTTTTATGAAACCATATTTATATATACTTATATTTTTGTTTTTAAAGAGTTTTGTAAACTTTATATATGTTTCCTTTTTATTTTATATAGTTATTTGGAAAAAAAATAAAAGGAAACAATAATATTTAAATGTATTTTTTTAATTCATTAAGAGTATCATAGTAATAAACCAGCGTAAGAGTTAACGTGAGCGCGGCACATTAGAAAGTGACTTCTCAAATAATATTATAGAGATATATATATATATATATATATATATATATATATATATATATATATATATATATAACATCGCACTTCATATAATTTAAATTCACATAACTATTTACCTTTCAAATGAACATGTCACTGAATGCTCGCAGTTGAACATAATATAAGTGTGGGCACTATGCTTATCCTCGTCATTAGACCACCATATTTCTCGCAATCTACCACCAAACCGTCCAATTTGGCAGAAAATATCAGGAACATTGCTTATTGGATATGTGGAGATGACTCCACCATCATCATATCTTCTAGGAACTCTTTTTCTTGTACGTACTATTGGTGCAAAGTAGTATGATGTGAAGTGAGATGTTTCCGTTGTCAAATTCCCAGCAATTATTGAACCTTCCACCTTTGCAAGATTTTTTGCTTTCCCCTTCAAATGTTTCATGGCGCGCTCATACGGATACATCCATCCATAGTGAACAGGACCACGAAGCAATGCCTCGTATGCGAGGTGAATAACAAGATGTTCCATGACGTCAAAAAATTCTGGAGGCAAAATTTCTCTAAGTTGCACAATATGATCAAAATGTTCTCATGAATTTGCTCGATAACTTCTTCCTTGAATGTAAGCGTGCTTAGGTCTTTGAAGAATGATCCAATGGCTGCATATTGCATATATAATATTAACATTTCATAACATATGTATATATAATATTAATTAATCAACAATATTTACCTGCAAGTGCTTCATGTACCTTTGTTGGAAGCAACTCAGCAAAAGCGAATGAAAGTAGTCGTTGCATAAACACATGACAGCCATGACTCTTCAATCCTAAGAACTTTTGACCTTTTTCAACACATCTTGAGAGATTAGAAACATATCCATCAGGGAACTTAACTTATGATTGAACCCAGTTAAACAATGTCGTCTTCGCTTTTGATGACAATCGGAAGATAGGAACTGGAATGTCTCCATTGCTTTTGATATGTAACTCACTTCTTGAGCAAATATCAGGTAAGCCCATCCTTGACTTTTTGCTATATTTTGTCTTTTCTGGGACGTTCAGTATTGTATTCATGATGTTGTCAAAGAAGTTATTCTCTATATTCATAAAATCGAAGTTGTGGCGTAAAAGAAGATCCTTTCATTAAAGCAGCTGCCAAAATATATTCTTCTTATGCCAATTGTGACTGACCCCATATCGATCAGGCAGATTTCCAGGAACATGCCAGTTTCCTCCACGTGGAACAGTTTCCTGAGCTCCGTAGTAATCAATTTTCGCTAGGATCTGTTCTCCAGTGAGATATGGAGGAGGACTATCCCTTACAACTTTTTTGTACCTAAACAATGTCTTATTTCTTCGGTATGGATGGATATGGGGAAGAAAACTACGATGACAATCAAACCAACAACTCTTCCTACCATCCTTTAATTGAAAAACATCTGTTGATATAAGACAATGTGGACAAGATAACATTCCCTGTGTAGTCCAACCAGAAAGCATACCATAAGCAGGAAAATCACTTATCGTCCAAATCAGAACTGCTCGCATCATAAAATTATTTTTCAAGGAACAATCATACGTCCTCACCCCTTCTGACCACAAGTCCTTCAGCTCTTGTATCAATGGTTGAAGAAAAATATCTAGCGACCGCTTTGGATGCTTCGGACCAGTGATTAATATGGTCAAGAATAGAAATTCTTGTTCCATGCACATCTCCGGAGGCAGGTTGTATAGCGTAAGAATGACCGGCCACAAAGAATATTGTCTCCCAGACACTCCAAATGGACTAAATCCGTCTGTGCATAATCCAAGATAGACATTTCTAATATTTCTTGCGAAATCTAGGTGTACCTTGTTGAAATGTTTCCAAGCTCTTGCATCTGATGGATGAGCAATCTCGCCATCTCGCTGGATATGTTCAGCATGCCACCTCATCGCTGCAGCAGTCCTCTCAGATTGATATAATCTTTTCAACCTATCTGTAATTGGTAAGTACCACATCCTTTGGTACGGTACCCTATTCCTTCCATGTCCTTGCGGTTTGAATCGTGGCTTCTTGCAGAATCGAGACTCTTCTAGCTTCTCATCATCTCTCCAGTAGATCATGCTGTTGTCGATGCAAACATCTATCATCTCCGATGGCAACCCAAGACTATAAACCAATTTCTGAATCTCGTAATAAGATTCAGCTGACACGTTGTCTTCTGGCAAATACTCTTTAAACAACTCGACCCATGCATTCATGCAGTTCTCAGGTAAATTATGCGTTTTAATATTTATCATCCTAGCTGCTAGAGACAATTTGGAGTGACCTTCTCTACAACCAGTGTAGATTGGTTGATTCGCAGCATCTAGCATTTCATAAAACCTTTTTGCATCCAAATTAGGTTCTTTAACATGAACAGTTTCATCTGCTATTGTGACTGTTCACGCCTTTTACTTTCTTGGAAATTCGATACATAAGTTATCGAATTATTTTTCTTTCGTTTTTCTTTTGTTTTTGTTTGTGGTGTTTTTAGAAGTGATTAGGAATGACATATATATAGGAAATTTTCGAGCTTGGTTGGTAAAGATTTAACAACGAATTTACAAGGAAAAGTTTTACTACGATTTTACAAGTCATTTGTACATTCTTTACAACCATGTTACAACGAATGTAGTTACTTAACAACACGTTTTTGTTTACTATAAACGGTTAAACTTTACTCGTAATGTACTTGTAATTTTACTTCGAATCTTTCTTTTCTTAGTACCTTCGTCGTAAATTTACTTGTAGTTTACGACGAATGGGTTTCATTGTAACGTTACTAGTTCATTACGACGAAATTGTATTTCCTCGTAATCTACTTGTTATGTACTCATAATATTACGAGGAAATATTTTCCTCATAATTTTTCCTCGTTAAAAGCGTGTTTTCTTGTAAAAACAAATATAAATTTATGTAAAATTAATACTCGCTATACAATTGCATTATAAAATGATAACACATATAAAATATATAATAGTCACATAAAAATATAAACTAATATATATATACCTTTGTGCGGGCGTGAGGATCAAACTTTAGTTTTTTTTAAGCCTATAATAAATATGTTCTTATTCAAGTTTAGTTCTTATTGATCTTTTATTTATCTCTATAATATTATTTGAGAAGTCAGTTTCCTACGTGTTGCGCTCACATTAACTCTCGTGATGGTTGATTACATTGATACTCTTAATGAATTATTAGATTTTAATATTATTATTATTATTTTGTTTTTACCTTTTTCCAAATAACTTATATAATAAAAAGGAAATATTTCTAAACTTTTAAAACAAATTTAAAAACGAAAAATATATGTATATAATAGGACTTTATTAAAAAGAAAAGTTTACAAAATAGTAATAACCCCATTAATATATATTTAAATAACATAAAAATATTTTTAAAATAATAAAAATATATATATGTTCATGAACATCTAAAAATTTATCAGTTACATTTTATTTTCTAATATTTTTTAGAAATCAACATATAGTTTGATAAATATTATAAAAAATACATGTATATTTAAGTGATAAATAAAACTAATTTGATTTGACTTAACTAAAATAAAGAGTAAATAAATATTATGAAAATACATGTATATTTAAGCGATAAATAAAACTAATTTGATATGACTTGACTATAAGAAAAAGTTATTATACTTATATTTTAATTTTAAATTATGTTTAACTCAATATACTCACAAAATGAATGACTCGAGTGATATAATTTATATCCAAAATTAAACATCTTATAATTTTATAATAATAATATATTTAATTTTATACATATAAATTAGAGGTTGACTCAAAGCGTATTAAAAAAAGAAAAAATTAATCAATTTATATGCATGAGACTTTAAAATATTATCATTATATTCATTTATGTAATTTTGAATTAAACACTTTAGCTTATTATTTATTTCAGTTTAAACACAATATATATTAAGTTATACATAATTTGACTATAATATATTTACATATCTAAAGACAATAATCAACCGAAATAAAAATAAGAAAATTAATCAAATTTTTATTCTATTTAGAATTAAAATATTATAGCTGAATTTGAAAAATAGATATTATCCAATATACCAAATTGATAACCAAATCGACTATTGATCAAAAAAATAATTAAACCGATAATAATATATCTAAAATCATATGTATAATTAGAATAATGTAATATTTATTAATATAAATTATACATATAAATTGATTCAAAACTAAAACTAAAACTAAATATCAATCAGTGATTATAAAATTTTAGTTTTATGAATATTTATACCCGTGCATGAGCACGGGAAAATCACATAGTACATATATATTTATGTTACAAAACATGAAACTCTATTACAAATACACAGGATTTTGTAGACAAATAGGACCTTTTTACAATGCCACAAAACAATCCTATCTTTATATTTTTGAAATTTTGTGGCAATGATGATGTAATTAAATAGGACTTTGTTTGCATTAGCAGTCAATAACTTTGACTTCCTTTTCTCTGAGTCGTCGTTGTTGACTCGTAGTCGTCTTGTTTTCTTCCAACTTTCACATCATAAGACCTACTAAATGTAGAAAAATATCTCAGCTCCGCGATCCATTTTTTTGTTACTTTGCTCATCCGTTTAGCTATTCAGTTTAGTTCAGCTTCTGAGAAAAAGGTTTTGTTTCGTACGTACGCAAAGGTTAGTTTACTTCTTTTTGAGATTCTTGTTTTCAAGCGGCAATAGCTTCCCCTGTCTTTTGGATTTAGGGTTCGTTGCAGAATTTATGGTTTTTTCTTTTCTTACAAATCTCTGTTTTTTATACAATCGATTCGAAAAGGATATAGTGCGTTTGAATTAATTGACCAAATAGATGTTCTGTGTTTTGTAATATGGTCAAGTAGTTTGGTTAATCTCCATGGAGACAGACTCTGTTTTTTTACTCTGTTTTGTTTGACTTCAGGGGAGAAGCCTAGTTGGGGTGTGTGTTTTAATCTCTTTGAGAGAATGAAGTGTTTCTTATTCCCTCTTGGTGACAAGAAAGAAGAACAGAGGAGTCCTAAACCGGTTTCACCCCTCTCTGACCGTGTTGGATTCACCAAAACCGGATCAGATGGCTCTGGAACCAGCACGGTTTCGTCATCCAACCCGAGCTTGCCCTCTAGAGAAAATAGCCTCAGAGAGTTCACAGTTGCTGATCTCAAACTCGTTACAAGAAACTTCAGCCGCTCTGTTATGATCGGTGAAGGCGGTTTCGGTCGTGTCTACTGGGGAACAATCAAAAGCTTACAAGACCCTTCCAAGAAAATCGAAGTCGCTGTTAAGCAGCTTGGCAAAAGAGGGTTACAGGCAAGGGCTTCTTCATCTTTGGTCATGTGATTTGTTGTTGGCTTTGAACTTCATCAATGGCTATAACTTTTGGATTGTTTACAGGGTCATAAAGAATGGGTGACGGAAGTTAATTTTCTAGGGGTAGTTGAGCATCCAAACTTGGTGAAACTGTTGGGTCATTGTGCAGAAGACGATGAACGTGGAATCCAAAGGCTTTTGGTTTATGAATACATGCCAAATCAAAGCGTTGAGTTTCATTTAGACCCTCGTTCACCTACTGTGCTTACTTGGGACCTAAGATTGAGAATAGCACAGGACGCAGCTAGGGGTTTAACATACCTCCATGAAGAAATGGATTTTCAAGTACGGAACATGAACTTCTCTATTTTCTCTTCTTTTTCATCAGTTAAACTATCTATAAACTTGTTTTGATTTTGTAGATAATATTTAGAGATTTCAAGTCCTCCAACATTCTATTAGACGAGGATTGGAAAGCAAAGCTTTCAGATTTCGGTTTGGCTCGCTTAGGTCCTGAACCAGGATCAACTCATGTTTCTACTGGTGTAAGTCTACATGCATTTCACTTCATTTGGTTATAGAAATCACCACCGTCTTTCTAATAGCATGTGCAAATAGAGCAGTCGAACATGATCTGAATATAAAAATTAAAATAAATATTTAAATCATGGTCTAAAACATTACTTTTTTAGATATACTGCTAAATTTATAACTTCAAAATAAACTTCAAACATATATGGATTGAGCTATTAATTTTAAAAAAAAATACTTCATCACATTGTTAAATATACAGTTAACAATTTTTGAACAAGGCTTAAAAATAGTCTGAGACGGCACTGATATGTAGAAAGTTGAATTGGTTTCTTGGTTTAACAGGTAGTAGGAACAATGGGCTACGCAGCACCAGAATATATCCAAACAGGTCGTCTAACATCTAAAAGTGACGTGTGGGGTTATGGAGTTTTCATCTATGAGCTAATTACAGGAAGGAGGCCTCTAGACAAGAACAGGCCTAAAGGAGAGCAAAAGCTTTTAGAATGGGTGAGACCTTACTTAACGGACACAAAGAGATTCAGGCTCATTATAGACCCGAGGCTCGAAGGCAAATATTCGATTAAACACGTCCAGAAACTAGCGGTTGTAGCCAACCTTTGCCTTACTAGGAACTCAAAGGCACGTCCAAAGATGAGTGAGGTGTTGGAGATGGTGACAAAGATTGTTGAAGATTCTTCGTCTAGGAATGGTGGTAAGAAGCAGCAGCTGGTTCCGTTGAGGAGTCTAGGACCGTCTACAGACGTGGAAGAGAAGAATAAGAAGGTTCTTGATGGTAGTAGCGAAGGAGGTTGGTTAGATAAGTTATGGAACCCAAAGAATGTAAGAGCTTGTTGATTGGGGTAAAGTTTAATATAACCGTTGTACATTATAGCATTTGCTTAGTTTATGTAAACAAATTCAGTTTGTTTCCTGTTTTGTTAATTGAATATTTGTAACTTTTTTTTTGAATATTTCGCATAATTTAATCAGTTTCTTAAATAAATGATTTTTATTAGTTAAATTTATAACAAAACAACTATATAGAGATATTTCACATATCGCCTCAATTATTATCAAAACAAAAGTTATGAAGTTTTTAATTCACCATACACATAAATACGGTTTCTTGTGAAATTATGCAATCTTTCTTTCTGAGCAAAGTTTATGCAATCTTGTTTTCCAACTTTTTTTGTGTTGCTTCTTTGCAGTGGTGTGTTGTGTTCTGAATTGCATAATCTTCACCATTGTTAGTTGGCGAAGCTAAGTTCTTATATTTGGTCAGCATTTCAATGTATTTAGTTCATTCTTCTAGAAAAGAAAAACACTAGTGGAAACTAGTTACAACTTAAAAACGTGTTAAATAAAAAGTTGAGACTGGACAGTCCAATCAACTAACCAACGGCTTAGATCATCCGTTGCTTGATCAAGATAGGGTCGAGTATCATGCATTTTGCATATGCCTACTATCTATCATCATATAGACATATAGTTCATATGCCTACTATCTATCATCATATAGTTTTATACTTGTATAAAATAAGAGAAGCAAAAGGAGGCATCAATTAAATCTTCGATAAGATTGCATTCAACTCATATGTACTACCAATGGCAAACAATTTGACTTTTTAACGCATTGATGTTGGCTGGAAACAGGGGTAACCATTAAATTTCGAGTTTTAAGTAAAAGTTAGTCTCTCTTAAGAAAAATTAACAAATAGCAAGCAAAAATGTTTGCTTGTGTTGAGGGATCGAGAAAAAACTTACTCGAGAACCAAAAATATGAGTGTCAACTAATAGGATATCAAATCTAGCTACTGAATAATAAAAACATAATGTATCATTTAGGCAGTTTATGCCGACTCACTCTTAGTTATACACTAATTACTAGTTACATACATAATCGAACTTTGGAAAGAAACATTGCTGCATCCAAAAGCATATTTGAGTTTGCTACATCCGAAAGCGTATATTAGTGTTTTATTTATATTTACATGCATGGACAGTAAATACTGGTTTTGGTTTTCAATTTTAAAAATTAATATAAGTTTGACACAAAAAAATTAATATACATTTTATAGTTATTAATTTATGACGGGTTATGAACTTATGATTCGATTGAAAATAAATAATGGGTGATTAGCTCTGCCAATACAATTCTATTATTTATAGTTTCTTGGTGTTTGATGTTCTGTTTTTAGATTTTGTTTCCTCTTTTGCTACTATAATTTTCTATCTTCTTGCTTTTATTTTTCAGTGTTGTAAGTTTTTTTATTCTTATTGTTGTTTCATGTTTATAATTTTACAATCTTTTGTAACTCTTCCATTAGCCAATTTAATAGCAATTTTTTTTTTATAAAAAAACACTAGTGTGATAAGAAACCATACATTAACATATTTGGTTATAATCAATAATGATCGTTCAAAGAAGGCATGATGCTTGCTAGATTTTGCTCCATGAGCTAGCGCTATTGTAGTATCAACTCATATCTTAATTTCAAAAAAATAATCCATGGAGGACTACTTTAGTTATACTATTCGATAACTGGCATAGAATATATGATGCACATATGATAATTGACAACAAAAAGTGGAATAACCTTTGTAAAAACACACCATAATTACGTAGGCTATCAATTAAATTTGCTTATCCAATAAAAATCAAAAATTCTTTTACAATTACAGCAGAGGTGACTCTTTTGGTTTCTCAAATCATCATGACCCATGCCATAAAATTAAACTATGCTTTATTACATGCTGATTCAAAATAAATGCACTATTGCCTGTTTTCTTTTTTTTTTTTTAATTTGCAAGCATGAAGCATGGAATTTATTTTGTTTTGAATAACCCTTTTATGCTACTCAATAAACTCAATAGATCTCATACTACATGATTCATGAATTTGTCAGTCTAGGCTTCCTGAAATTAAGCTTAGACTTTACCAATATACAATTCATTCTTGTAAATAACTTGAACACTTCACAAAAGCATCCATACGAATCACCGCCAGAACAGAGAACCTAGTACATTAATTAACACCTAGGAAACTTTAACAACAAAATATGAATATCCATTTTTAATATGCTCACAGGAATACTAAATTATACTATGATGAGTATTGCGTGAATTTTAATTAATTCAAGAAAGGGGGGCTGCCTGGAATAATTGAATTTGATGGTTTTAGAATTCAAAAACTGAGTGGGCGCAACGTGGAATTCTTAGCCTGACTAAAATAAAAGTTACATATTCGCGCCGGATATGATTGGGAACTTTAAAGAATGCAGCCAGTAAAACCGTTTTCTCTCTCGCCTTTTGATGCGACTTTAATGGCGATAGGGAGAAAAAAATTCAATTACTCAAAAATTCGTATCTGATCAAAACATGATCAGTTTCTATATGTTTTTTTATCCTTTGTTCTTCTCTTTCACTGAAAAGAGATTTATCTATGGTGGAATAACAAGTAGATTTTCTTTTTTTCAATCCATCATTACAATTTCCGATTTAGTCTCCGTGACTATGATCGACGACAAGAAATTCAATCCAGTTATCATGAATCAAAGATCAAGTGGTAAGGAACTTATCCTAACCGCTTTGCTTTGGAAACAAATTCCATGGAAGCCACCATGGTGTGTCATCGTTATGGGTATGAAAGTGATGCAACCACAAAGGTACTTTACGTTTTTGAAGATTACAATTCAAAATATTTATGGGTGGTTCTTCACTGGAGATGCAATTTCTTTGTTGTATGGCGATGTTGTTATAATCGTTGAAAATTGGCAGTTTCATTTACAATTTCTTTGGAAAAAATCAGTAAATTGGATTTCTTCTCAAAGCATATCTATAGATCCTATGTGGAATCTGGCCAATGTTATACAACAAAGAAATATTCAAAAAGAAATTTGGAACTTCGTCAACAAGATGATAACCAAATATGAATGGTGTTGCAAAAGGAGAAGCAAGATAGATCAGAAGAAAACTTCTTCAGATTTTAATCGTTGTATTGTAATGTTTTTTAATCTTACTTTTGCATTTGATTGTATTATTATTGTTTTCTGTACTTTTATGTAATTTAACATTTTATTTAAATAAAATAGTGGTTAAAAAAAAAAAAAAAGAATGCAGCCATGTGTACTTGGACCCATTAGAATTCGTCAACATTTAAGAAGCCTACACTAAGTAGATTTAGGACTAAATACGATTGCATTTGCATGCTAATCCTTCCATAAATGCTCATTAACTATAAGTTGATCTATTGGGATTTGTTGAAAAGTCGAAAATGTTAACAATGAACAAAAAACAACGTCTCATCATTTATGACTGTATCAAGGAAACATAAAAAGAGATGAGCAATAACTTTACATGCAAAACTAAAACACCCTACTTTTTTTAATAAACAAAGGATTTTGGTATATTTTTATCGTAGTTTTCTTTTACATAATTAATCATCAAGTTGATTTGGACTTTTTTTTTATTTAGTATACCTCTTTGGAAAATGTTATTGCGGTCACACAAGAAACAAAATAGTACAATAAATATAATAAATAAAAAGAATATTAAAGAATGAAAAGAGACTTAAATAAGATTGATATAACTGTGACCGTTCATATGAATGATCCAACGGCTACAAGTTCTCATGATCAAAGAGTTAAAATCTCAGGAACTCGTATAAATATTGAGTGGCATTTAGCGCGTTTTCTCACTTTCTATTTCTTTTCTGGGTTCCTCGAAAAAGAAAACGAACAACTTTCTTTTCATTCGAATCATTCTCGATTCCTTTTTCTTCCTAAAAATTAAATCTTTTCAAAAGTGCGAGTAAAACCCATTTGAATTATGTTTGATTTCAATTTAAATTCTCAACCTTTGATCCCCAAATTCTGAAAAAAGTTTTTGACTATTTTTGGTAAAAACAATTCCGTCTTCAAGTTGCAGAGATTTAGTAAGTGAAAGGTGATAGCTTTCTTCAACTTTTGATCTAACTTCTCCTCTATACAAAATCATATCTTTCCACAGATCTATCTTTTGTTTTCTCTTCAATACTTCCGGATTCAGAGCGGAAAAATCTTTTTTTTTTGTTGTTCTCTGTGTTTGTCTATTCATCATCTTGATAACGACTTTAGTTACTGTGTCTAATTATAAAATAGTTTAGGGGAAAACCAAGTTGATTTGAGTCACATTTCCTATTTGTTGAAAAGTCACATTTCATAAAGTAATTATATTTGACTTGTTTTTTATACGATTTCTGATTCTTTATGGAAACCTTTTTTTTACGTTAATCTTTTTTTTAATCCAGTAGATATGTCACATGAAGAGAACACAAGTATTGTGGAGTGGTTTCTTGGTCCACCTTCATATACGTATCCTCCTTATGGCTATGAGTTGATTCATGAGCAAGACCAATCTCATCATCATCATCATCTACAGAGCGGTGAGTATTACAGAGAGTATGAAGATCATCATAGTAGCAGCGATGTAGATAACGATGAGATCATTGCAAGAACACTCCAAAACGATTTTTTGCAGCTTCAAATTGCAGAAAACGATGACCATTATTCAAATCATCAACAAGAAGAAGGTTATACAAACAACTATAGCAGTAACAATAACGAATATGGTTGGAACAATCAACCTACTAGAGATTACTCTTCAGGTTTAACATGCTCTTTTCATGTGTATATGTTTGTGTGTTTGGTAATTGGATTACAAACGAAAATGTGATTTTGGTGTTGTAGAATGGGTAGGAAATGATAATGATCATGATGGGAGGAGCCATGATTCTCCTAGTATTTTTTCATCTTCAAGCCAGAGTGATACAGAAGAGTATGTGTACTCATGGGAATCAGATGAGTGTGATACGGATGGTGAATTTGGTAGGAGATTGAATCAGATGGTCCCTATTCCTGTAAGTACTCAATACACCATTGGCTAAATTATTATCAATATATTCTATTAATCGACAAGTCGATCATAATCTATATATTTGCAGTATGTACCAAAAATAAATGGAGAAATACCTCCGGAAGAAGAAGCAGTTTCAGATCATGATAGACTTCGGAATAGGTAATGTATTATTGTTGGTTCCATGTATGTGTTCTGTTATATAAATAATCCATTCTTGAGTCCATTGCTTACTCATTGTTTCAGGTTAGAGATGTTTGACTTCGCAGAGGTCAAAGTTCCAGGAGATGGTAACTGCCAGGTAAATTACTCACCTTCTCCATAAGCAGAATCATTCTGGAAGAAGTAGACTTTACTGATCATTTTTTGTTACAGTTCCGTGCTTTAGCTGATCAACTATACAAAACCGCAGATCGGCATAAACATGTTAGACGACAAATCGTAAAACAGGTTTGATGATCCTTTTAGCTACTCATGAGTCTTTAGAACCTTTCACAAATTCATATTAACTCACTTATTTTCTTGCAACTTTTCAATTATTGGTTTAGCTCAAATCTAGTCCAGCCTCTTATGAAGGATATGTGCCTATGGAGTTCTCTGAGTATCTAAAGAAGATGTCTCGGTAAATATCTTTCCTCTAGAAACCCCATACCACATTTCTTTAACCAGAGTCTTTGTTAAAACAGCCTTAGTATTGAACTTTGAACCAGGAGTGGTGAGTGGGGTGATCATGTTACATTACAGGCAGCTGCAGATGCGGTAAAGATTCTCAAACTTATGAAAACACGTGAATTTATGTTCGTATACCTTTTTCGTCATTTCATAATTAAACACTTTGCTGTAAATGTTGATTATGCAGTATCGGATGAAAATAGTAGTGCTAACATCATTTAAGAATACATGTTATATTGAAATCCTTCCTACCTCTGATGAACCCAGAGGAGGTAACAAGTTTTCGTCCACCATTCTTTTCGGCTTGTCTATTTCAGAATGTTGTTTATTACAGTGAAATGTTATTTTGGTTGTTGTTTGCAGTAATCTTCTTGAGCTTCTGGGCAGAGGTTCATTACAATTCTATCTACTTGAAAGGAGGTAAATTGTACAAACCTTAAAGCTCATTTTATAGAACTCTGTTTTGTATTTTTTCATCTTGATTCATTAAAAGAGATTTTTTTCTTGATTTTTTAATTGTGTTCAGATACATCTGTAACAGAGTTACAGAGGAAGAAGAAATGGTGGCGTTTTGGAAACTAGACAGCATGGAACAACACTATCATCACTCAAATTAATACTTATTAACTTAAGAGCAAGAAAGAGATGTTCTTTGAAATAGTTCCTTTGTAGAGAGATGAATACAGCTCACAACTTCAAAGTCTTACTAACATAAAATAAAGAAAAATTCTGCCATACAAAAAGAGAATCAATAAACTTAATAAAATATAGTACAACATTTTTATCGATACTTTGTTGTCGGAAAAATTTAATCCACATACAAGTAGTTCCAACGACATAAATTGCTCACACTATGAATTGTATAAGCTTCATAGAATAAACCTTGAGTAACAAACTGATAAACGTGATTATGTTTAACTAATACGGTAACATCGAAATAATGAAAAGCTCAAGTTTATTACGAATGAGTTTTCTGTATATATATATCTCACGACATCAGTCGTTTAGAAGTTAACTACTTTAAACATAACTTAAAAAAAAAAGCAACTACTTTGAGGAGTCATAATCTTAACGGTAGAGATCATCATCATCGGCAGCAGCGCAGAAGAGGCAAAGGATCTGTGGTGACACCACCGGTGGTGCGTCTAGGGATGTCAACTGAATGGACTGGGTGGATTTAAACATATTCAGATGAATTTATATTTTTGGGCGTTTTTGGTCGAAGCCCAAATAAGACCATATTCAAATAGAACTATGACTAAATATGACCATGATCAGACAGCTCATGGGGTTCAGATGCCAATTTAATATTAAAAAGTCTAATATCCCTTATATATTAATCCTGGAGCATTCATAAATGCACAACCTTGGAGAGCATGCTTACGTGTCAAGCTCACAGAGCTTCTCAGCTTTAATTTTTTAATGGACCAACTTTGCTAGGAATGAAATAATGTAACATTTAATTTCTTGCATTTAGGACTATAATATATAGATATTTTTTAAGGGACCAACTCTGCTAGGTATAAAATAATATATTTTATTTCCTTAAATAAAAGCTACGGAATTACCTAATATGATTAACATATATATGTAATTAATGATTATGAATAATACATATTTTTGTATCCTCTCTTTTTTGTTTAATTTTAAATTATTAAAATAAATTAAACAATCACATTTAAATATATAATAAAAAATTAATTTTTTTCTTATAGGTTATATTTTTAATTTTTTAAAATGACAATAAATAACTAAAAATAGTAAAATCCCACCTTGAAAATTTTATGATCAATGGTTTAACTTTGTTTTTTCCAAAGAAGATACAAATTATCATAAATCGTACGAATATGAAGTATCATTAGTAGATATTCATACTATAAATATATTAATTTAAAAATTTCAGTGAAAAGGTTTGAGGTTAGTAGATACAAATTATAGTATTCAAAAGATTTTTGTAGTTTGTTTTATTTGCTTCTTTTTTTTTAATATCTTTTAGTTTGTTTAGATAACTTAACTAATTTTAAATTAGATTTATTAATAATTTAAATATTTTGATTTTTTTGTCAACTTTTAATGCTTAACAAATATTTTTTGGGATGATTTCAGATATTGGTTACAATCCAATCCAAACTGAATTGAGAAGATCAAATCGAATTTTATTCGATAATTAGTAAAATTCAAATAGGATTTATGAGAATAATACCAAAATCTGAAAATACGTGTCAATCACTAAAACCGACGAAGTCTCAAACGTCCAGACCTATGATGATTTAAGGTACCAACATTTGTATTCAACATTTTATAATCGATAAATACTGTAGTATTGCAAAATGTTAAAAACCATTTAATGAATAAGTATTAGTATAAAAATTTCACCCCGCGCATGCGCGCGGGTTATCATCTAGTTCAACTTAAAATAGAGCGCCTTGAAATCTTTCATATAAATGAAAAAGTTACAGTCTAGGTTGTGAACTAATTTCCATAAGAACATCTCCAAAAGACACTTTATAATTTCAAATATGAAGTTTTTGGTTCTCCAAAAAGAAATTCTAAAATTTCAAATTTGTAGTTTTGAATAGTGAAACTTCAAATATAGAGTATCACTACTCAAAACTTCAAATTTGAAGTTTCATATTTTTATTTACATTTGGATCCTTACAATTATACATTATATATATAACTCTTATATCTTTTATGGTTTAGCATTTTAACCCTTAAAAATTCATATCTCATAAATACTTTAATTTTTATAAATTTAAATTGTACACATATATTTTTTCAAAACAACAAGATAAGATTTAAAATAGTTGGAATTAGAATTAGACAACAACAATATTACAAGACTTAATATGATATTTTATTTATAGTTTAATATTTAATTATATATTTATATTAATAATTTCATATTTTAGTGTAATATTTTATCATTTAATATTTCTGTAATATTTTTATATATGTTGTGCTAACTATTTATATAAGTTCTATGAATTTGAACTAGTTATGATAAATATAAAGACCATAGTATAATATACAAATAATTTTAAATTTAAGTTTGAAGTTTTGCTTTTGGAATATAATACCTACAAACTTTATATATAGAGTTTTAAAAACTTTAAAATAGAGTGTTCTTTTGAAGATGCTCTTACAATTCAAAGTCCATAATTTCATAAAACTTGCTTGTTTGCTTATAATTATCTGATTAACTTATAATTTCTAAAACAAATTTTGATATTGTTGTTCTAACATCTGAATTGAAGTATAAAAAACTTTTTTTTTTGGTCAAAGAAGTATTAAAAATGGAGTATTACATAAATACACATTTTTCGGTACACTAATTGACATACTTTAAGAAGTGAGACATTTTCAAATATACGATTTTTCTTAAATCAAACTAAATTCTTAAAACAAATGTAATACAAGATAATCACTATCTCGACTCTCGAGTAACATGAACTACGTGTCGTTTAGTCTCCTCTATATTAGACGTTGCGCCGTTTGCTACTATGAGCTATTCAATGTTATAAACTACCTGCCGGTTCCAAACTCGAGTAGATCGTCTTCTATTATTCTACGGACTCTGAATCTCGTCGGCGAGACAAAAACCAGATCAGGATTCATCTCTTATACGCAAGACATGAATCTAGGTTTCGTAATTGGAGTTCTCGGCGTCCTTATCCTTTCCCACGCCGCTTATTCAACAATCCAATGTATGCCCCCCCTCTCCTCAAGATCCAAAATTTCAATAGAGTCAGATCTAATTTTACTTGCTTATGTGTTTATTGATGTGGGTTTTGCTTGTTTGATACAGATAGAGGATTGTTGAAGATCACTGAGGAAGAGTTCTCTGGACCTCCGTTGAATGTGAGTATATATGATAAAGGTTACTCTTTTATTCAGTTTTATTGTTGGGAAAGGAAAGGATTATACTTTTGATACTTGTTTGGGTTGGGTTCCTTTAGGTTGTTTTGGAGTTGATCGTGGGATTAGCTCTATGTATGTGGGCTGCTTTGACTTTCCCTGGCAAGTTTCTCTCCATTCACCCTGACTCCGATGAAAACAGGTTTGTCATCATCAGTTAAATCAATCTATGCAATCATGTTTTCTAGTTAGTATTTGTAGTATTGACTGAGAATGTTCTTAGATTCATGTTTATGGATTTGTTTTCCTAGTTAATACTTTGGCCATTAGACTAAGAATGTTCTTAGTAATATACTATGCTTATAGCGCTACGCTCACCAGCAGGATCTGACCTTTAGCATACCTTACACACTTACACCTCCTTTACTCTCTAGGTGTTTTACACTTTGGTGAAAACTGAATTATTCCTTCCTTCTATGATTGTAACGACCTCACACCTATCTTCTTGTAGACTGTGTTTCTTGAATTGGTTTTGTGTTAGATGGAAGTGAATATCTTCAGCTAATTGGTTATTTCAAAACTTTTTTGCAGGGCGGTGTCTTTACCAGATAACACGGATTTCATGATATTCAATCACCGTGGCCGACTCTTCCCACCTGAGATCACCATGAAGTTTTGATTTTGTTTTTTTTTTTATCCTACTGCTTAGTCGAAAAGTCATCTATCCAATGTAATGAGATATGTTGTTTCCATTGATATTTTACTCTACTCAACTTAACTACTTCTGCTTTCCATCAGTTTGTGATTTTAGAAAGTCTCTGTTTAGAAATGAAAAGTCAACATTACCACAAAGTACCTGCAGAATAGGTTTGGCCACTAGTACGAAAATGCAATCCAGTAAACGACAATTTTTTTTTAATTATTAACTCAGGTTAGTTATTACTCTCTGAGTAAAAAAGACATACAAACATAAGCGAACAGCAGTGGTTCAGGTGTCCTTAGCGCTGTTCTGGAAGGTCCAGCTCCAAATATCATGACGCTCAACGTCACGGCCCATGGCACCAGCAAAACCTGTGTACATGTTTTCGAGAAAAACCTCGGAGAGATCTAATTGCGCAACGATCAATGGCTTCTGAGGTTTCTTAACGCCTTCTGGCGCGAGAGTGACTGTAACTTTGGACTCTCTATACTCAATCCAAGCCTTGTACCTCTCTCCATCGCTCAGCTTCACCTCCTTGAACCTCCACATTTTCGTTTTCCCTATTACTATCTGAACCCAATAACCAGCTTTCTTGGCAACGACAGAGGTTAGAGAGTTAACATCTACACCGACATGGTTATCATTCATGTCTCCAAGATATTTGTCCTTATAAACATCGAACTCGACAGCAAAAACATGGTTTTCAGGGTTGCCATTGTTGGTTTTATTCAGGATTCCGAGGAATCCAGCGGGACCAGCATTACTGTTGTCAAGAGCAGGGACCACGATGAAGGCGAGGCCATGTCCCGGGGCGGGTTCGGTGCTAGGAGCGATGGAGAAAATGAAAGAAGTTTCAAATGTATAAGGAGAAGAAGTGTTTGAAGAAGGCTTGAAAGGAACTGGAGTGGACCAAAGACCTTGGCCGTGAGAGAAAGGGTTTGCGTCTCGGGTCATGGAGAGAGCTCCGGAGCGACTCACGCCATCTGATGCAGGACCGAGCTCTGCGTCTCCAAGGAAGGCTATGTTTGAGGTTTCGAGGCTGAGATTGAAGGCGAGAGTGGTGTGAGCCAAGAACAGAGCAAGAAAACAGAGTTTATGAAGCTGCATTGTGTGTGCTATTGTTGATTGATTCTAATGAGTGTAAGAAACTCTGAGTACGCTAACGTGGTGATTTATAAGAGTACGGGTAAACATAAAGCCATCATCGAGTTTGAATTTTCAGAATGGAAACAAAAACTAAAATAATCATTGAATCGTTCACATCATAATACATCATCACACGTCAAGTGGAGGAGACAAGAGACTAGTAAATACAAGTAGTTACAAAAACATACTACTGTATGAATGAATGAATGAACACACTTGACTATGCCTGTTATTTATTATCAATCATACAAACAAAACCGACATCGTATAGAAAGTTACGTAATATTAAGTGAATCCGTTTAGGTGTTCTTACCACTGTTCTTGAACTTCCAGCTCCAAATGTCGTGACCCTCAAATGTGCTCCTTAATATTCAGATTCTAGTGCCGACATTATTTTTCCTTTCTTATTAGTCCATTTGGTTTGAAAAGAGACCAGTATGCATAGGCACACAGGTTCGGCTAGTTCAGGTTAACGGTTGGGGTAGTTAGGTTTTGGGTAGTTTGATTCAACATAACTCTTACCGAATGAACCCGAAATAAATTTCGGTTTGGTTTGGTATTTAGTTAAATGGGTTTTTGAAAAGGTTTGATATTTAGATTTTAGTTTTGTTTATTAAAATTTCCAATAAATTTCGATTAATTTCATTTAGTTCAGTTCGCAAATTTATTAATTTTGTTTAGATTTTTCGGTATGGAAATAATTTTCTTAAAGAAACTGAAGTAAATGATTGTCAAACCGAACCAAACCAAAACTGATTTTTTTATAAATAAAATATCAAATTAAACTGTCCTAACCAAAATTTTGGTTTGCTGCGTTTCGGTTCAATCCAGGCCTAAGTATACACTTGGTACTTAGACAATAGGTGTAGAAACAACGCAGTGGCTTAATTGTCAGTGATTTTATTTGTTCTTCTCTTTCTGGTTCAAGAAAATATGATTGTGGAGGTCTTGTAATTTGGATTACTCAAACAGTATTATGAGACTAGGTTCGTTTCCGCGATATCTCTATAATATTATTTGAGAAGTCACTTTCTTATGTGTCGCGATTACGTTAACTCTCACGCTGGTTGATTACTATGATACCCTTAATGAATTAAAAAAATATATTTAAATATTATTATTTCCTTTTAATTTGTTTCCAAATAACTATATAAAATAAAAAAGAAACATGTATAAAGTTTACAAAACTCTTTAAAAACGAAAATATAAGTATATATAAATATGGTTTCATAAAAATGGAAAGTTCACAAAATAGTAATATTTAATTTAAATATATTTTAAATAACATAAAATATAATTTTGAAGTAATAAAATACTTTATAACTATCTCTTCTTAGATGAAAAACAATATTTGTAAATAATGTGATTCCATAAAAAAAGTTCACACAACTAATCTTTATATTAGAAAAAGAGATATTTTTTTATTTTAAAAAATAATTTTAAACAATAAATATATATATTTTCGAAGTATTTTTTCTATATATATATTTTATTAGATGATTACATAAAATAATTAAGTAACATAAGATGATATATGTTTAATTGACAAAAAAATTGTAATTAGTATTCTTGAAATATATATTTTTATTTTAGTATATTTTTTACTATAATATCTTACAATTACAGAAAAAAATATAAATTCTATTTACTTATATAATATAATTTCTCAAAAACAATACCATTTTTACTGCATATTTTAAAAGATATTAAAAATAAAACTAAAAATGAATTTTAATAATAAACATTTTTTCATCAAATAACTACAATTATCTTAAAATATCATAACATTATATAATTTATCGAAGTAGATATATTATATTTTAATAGTTAAAATTATATGTTTTTTTAATAACTCTTTTGATTTTTAATTTTTTGTTTTTATGTTTGTGGAACTTAATATAACCATAATCAAAATACTTAAACAAATCAGAATCCTTATTTTTAAAATTATTTAAAATAAATTTCAGTTTATCATCTAATCAGTCTAAATATTGTAAATATTGATATGTGTTCATTAGCTTGCAAAATTTTATTAGTTACTTAAGTATGTAATTTAGAATCAGGATAACAACCGGCATAAATGCAAATAAGACAATTACTCAAAAATTTAATATATTTAGAATAAAAAAGATTATAGTTGAATTCAGAGAAATAGATAGAATCTAATATATCTCAATGATAACTAAATCAACCGTAAAAACAATAAAACTGACGAAATATAACATATCTAAAATTATATATAATTAAATTAATATAATATTATTAATATAAATTATATCTACAAATTATAAATTAATTTTAAATTTGAAATAAATATCAATCAATTATTATAATATATTTATTTTAAATATTTATGTCCGTGCATGAGCACGGGAAAATCACCTAGTAGGCGGTATATGTGATTATATTTTTTTCTTTTATATATTAATATAAAAATATGATATTGTTTGGTAATTTTGTCCAAAAATACCTATAAAATTTGACCTTTTGAATATAATAGGAAAGAAGAAATAAATCATACAAACTGATCAACGGAGGTTTGTGGTTTAATTTGTCACTAGATTTTGACCCGCGTTTAAAAAACACTGAAATTTTTTATGATTAAAATTTATATAATTGGGTTTTGCCTTAATATAAAGAATATTTTGGGATATAATCAATTCACCAAAATTTGTGGTGATGATTGTTTTTATTAGTTTTTAGTTTTAGTTTTTATTTTTAGATTTTGGTTTTGGTTTTTAGTTTTTAAGTTTCCATTTTTTATTTTCAGTTTTTGGTTTGGGTTTTAATTTTTAGACCCGCTGAATTAGGTTGAACTGATATTACCTACAAATAAATCCCAAATTATCGAACATCTAATTTAAAACTGAAAAGATGACAAAAATTTTTTTAAAGAAATTTGCAATAGTTTATTTTGTAAATAAACAAAAGAAAAAAAATATAACCTGCTTTTGCAATTTTGGTTTTTGGTTTATCTTTACATTTTTTTTTAAATCAGTAAATTATTTAAGAGAAATAAAACAATAATTAAGTTAAAAGTCACCACTGAAATTTATCATAACAAAGTGATTGTTATTTAAAAAAAAAATATTAACATGTTTTAAAGTACATTATTTAAATAAATGATTAATAATAAACAATTTTATTTTGTTAAAAATATCAAATATCCTTTGGGCTTGAAAATAATAACTGATTTTTTGATCCATTAAGGTAGAAAGTTTATTCAATGTCTTTTGGAGTTTCTCTTTAGTACTAAGCCCAAAAACTAAACTATATAACTTGTCATAAAAATAAAAGTAAGTCTAAAACTCTATTCCATAAATAACCACCGGTTTAATTTAAGTAATGCGGTTCAATCAACTATATGACTTGTATTATTTGTAACACACTTGTATTATTTGTAACACTCTAGAAAGTGTCCAAATTTAAATGACAACTTGTATCAGTAGATAAAAAAAATGACTATTTTAATAGAGTAGATTCATACTACTATGTTTATTTTTTTGTTCGAGTTTTTTTATATTTTCTTAAAATATTGTGTAGTTATATTTTTTATCGGTTTAGCTGAGTATTTCATCTGACATATGGCATAAGAGTTGGGATGACATTAACTGATTTTGGTTATTTAAATGTTGCAACTAAATTTATCTTCGCCATTTCTAAATTATAATAAGATTGTGTATTATAAATTTGCCAAAATACCAAGACTAATTTCAGAATATATAGATAGAAACAGTTGAAATGTTGATTTTAGTTGAATTTTCTTAAAAAAACATCTTCCGAGTTCTATTGGTGTTTTTCACTGAACTTATGCATTAGACTTGATTTTTATCTTGTTTCTAAAGTTTTTGATGATTTTTATTGTGTTGTCAAAGAAAAATTGTGTTACCGATGATAAAGTGAACATTACCTTCCTTATAAATATGAGGTATTAATTATAATGTATCACATTTTATTTTATATATATATATATTTTATGGTACGGATAATGCTTACCATCACGACAACTTCATATTTATTTCTCTGGACATAGATGTTTGTTTTTTTTATAGTGAAAGTCTTACAATCTTTCATCTATAATATATTTTTTGTATAAGATGGAACAACATATGTTAGAAATATAAGTATTTATTTCACATGTACATGTTTTTTAGCAACTAAGTATGAGTTTTGTTTTAGCTTCTGGATTGTGGCATTTAATTCCTTGCATCAAGTGTATTTCTCAAAATATTTTGATTTAGCTTACATGACTAGTTGACCATTTTTAATTTATTTTGTTTGGCAAATTTGACGATTTTAAAATTAATAGTTTTAATAAACATTTATTCGTTTGTTTACCCCTGGTAACAATATATATACTGTATTTAGTAAGGAAAAATTTCATATAAATACTCCAACGAAATTTTATTAAGTTTTTTAATACCCAAATTTTTTCAGTACCCAGTTAATACCTCAACTAATTATTTTGTCCATTTTAATATACAAACTTTTATAACTGTGTCCATTATAATACCCAACTTTATTTATTTTAATTAACAATACTAATAAGTTTCAAACAATTTTTTTTAAAATCTCTAAAATCTATGAAAAAATATTTAAAATTTCTAAGTTTACTTGAAGATTTAAGAAAGAAGGTAAATAAACTCTAGAGAAAATTTAAATGTTTAAAAAAACTTTTTTTGAAATAATTTACTTTTTATTTCAGAAAACAAACTAAAATCAAGATATAAAACTTAAAAAAATTATTACAAATTTAAGATTATAAAAAATTTACTTAATTCCATTTCTCTAACATACAATAAAAATTTTTTTTTGTAAAGTTTAGAGATTTTTAAAATTTTATTGAAAACTTATTAGTATTGTTAGTTAAAATAAACAAAGTTTGGGTATTAAATGGGCACATTTATAAAAATTTGTGCATTAAAATGGATAAATAATTAGTTGGGGTATTAAACTGGATAGCGAAAAAATTGGATATTAAAAAGCTTAATAAAATTTAGTGAGGATATTTATATGGAATTTTCCCATTTAGTAATTAACTGGTTAAATATTCTCAGTTTGATATTTATATGAGAACTGAATCCAAACAAAATGTAAATACCAATTGATCATCTTTGTAAAAAAAAAGTCTTTAAAAAAATATATTTTACAATTCTTTTTTTTTTTCTTACAATTACAGAATACATACAATTCAATTAGTTTTTTATTTACATTTATAATTACTATTTTTACATTTTATCTATAAAATTATTTGATAAGTCATTTTTCTAGGTTTCGCTCTCACAATAATTATTATAATGGTTAATTTAAATGTCATCATTTACATATTATATTTTTGGATAATATTTATTATTTTGAGATTTTATCTTAGATTCCTTTTTTATATTGGTTTTCCAATCACATTTATAAAAATGCAATATTTTAAAAATATTAAAGCGTGGTCATATTAACATTTTCTTATAATCTTTGTTATTTCGAGTTTTTTTTTTTTATAATCTTTGATTCAGATAGAGGATTGTTGAAGATAACGGAGGAAGAGTTCTCTGGACCTCCGTTGAATGTGAGTATATGATAAAGGTTACTCTTTTATTCAATTCTTTTTTGTTTGTAAAGGAAAGGATTATACTTTTGAAACTTTCTTTGGATTGTTTAGGTTGTTTTGGAGTTGATCGTGGGATTAGCTCTATGTATGTGGGCTGTTTTGACTTTCCATGGCAAGTTTCTCTCCATTCACCCTGACTCCGATGAAAACAGGTTTGTCATCATCATTCTTTTGAACCCTCTTTGTGCATTTCACCGTTGAATCAATCATGTTTTCTAGTTAGTATTTGTAGTATTGACTGAGAATGTTCTTCTTAGATTCATTTTCATGGATTCGTTTTTTTAGTTAATACTTTGGCCCTTGACTGAGAATATACGGAACATATTCATGCTTATACTACTACGCTCCGTAGTAGCAGGATCTGACCTTGAGCATACCTTACACACACCTCCTTAACTTTGTAGGTGTTTTAGACACCCTTAAGTGTAATTGACTGTTCCTTCTATGTCACGATCATCTTCTTATACATTCTGGTTCTTGCATTGTTATGTTAAGAGGAAGTGAATATCTTCAGCTAATTGGTTATTTCAAAACTTTTTTGCAGGGCGGTGCTTTACCAGATAACACGGATTTCATGATATTCACTCACCGTGGCCGACTCTTCCCACCTGAGATCACCATGAAGTTTTGATTTTGTTTTTTGTTTTTATCCTACTGCTTAGTCAAAAACTCATCTATCCAATGTAATGAGATGTTGTTTCCATTGATATTCTACTCTACTGAACTACTCTGCTTTCCATCAGTTTGTGAATTTTGAAACAGTCTCTTGTTTAGGAAATGAAAAGTCAACATTACGACAAAGTACCTGCAGAATAGGTTTGGCCACTAGTACGAAAATGCAATCCAGTAAACGACATTTTTTCTAATTATTAATTCAGATTAGTTATTACTCTCTGAGTAAAAGACATACAAACATAAGCGAACAGCACTAGCTTAGGCACTGTTCTGGAAGGTCCAGCTCCAAATGTCATGACGCTCAACGCCACGGCCCATGGCACCAGCAAAGCCTGTGTACATGTTTTCGAGAAAAACCTCAGAGAGATTTAACTGTACAACGATCAATGGCTTCTGAGGTTTCTTAACAGCTTCTGGCGCGAGAGTGACTCTTACCTCGAAGTTTTTGTACTCAATCCAAGCCTTGTACCTCTCTCCATCGCTCAGCTTCACCTCCTTGAACCTCCACAATTTCCTTTTCCCTATCACCGTCTGAACCCAATAGCCAGCTTTCTCGGCCACAACGGATGTAAGAGAGTTAACATCTACACCGACATGGTTATCATTAATGTCTCCAAGATGTTTGTCCTGAAAGACATCGAACTCGACCGCAAAAACATGGTTTTCAGAGTTGCCATTGTTAGTTTTGTTAAGGATTCCGAGGAATCCAGCGGGTCCTGCACCGCTGTTGTCGAGAGCTGGGACCACGATGAAGGCGAGGCCATTGTATGAAAGGAGGCTGAATACTTTATTAATGTGTAGACATACAGTATTTATACATGATACATAGGTCATTAGGTATTGACTAATTACAGTAATGACCCTCATAATATACATCGCCTATACGCCCCCTCAAGATGGAGGGACGTGAGTGACTCCAATCTTGCTCATAAGTTCTTGAAAGCGCGGTCGAGGTAGTGGTTTGGTGAGAGCATCGGCAAGTTGATCCTTTGTTGAGAGATGTGAGACTCGTAGTGCACCAGATTGGACATGGTGCCGGATAAAATGAAAGTCCAGCGCTATATGCTTCATCTTTGAGTGGAAAACCGGATTTGCAGCTAAGTATGTAGCGCCCACGTTGTCACAGTAGATCACTGGCATTTCTGGCAACTGTATACGGAGCTCTGTGAATAGTGAACAAACCCATAGGAGTTCTGATGCGACATTCGCGACGGCTCGGTATTCTGCTTCAGTTGACGATCGTGCGACTCCGGTTTGTTTCTTTGAGCTCCAGGAGATGGGATTGCTCCCAAGATAGACAACATAGGCATTTGTGGAGCAGTAGTCGTCGATGTCTCCAGCCCAATCAGCGTCAGAGTAGGCGTGGAGCTTCAGTGGTGTATCAGCGCGTATGAGAATCCCATGAGCTGAAGTACCCGCCAAATATCGAAGAATTCTCTTAACCGCTTGCCAGTGAAGGTCTGTGGGGGACTGCATAAACTGAGCAAGTCGGTTGACTGGGAAGGCAATGTCTGGTCTGGTGAACGCCAGGTACTGCAAACTACCAAGAACCGCTCGATATTCGCTCGGATTCTCCATCGGGGTTCCGGAAGCGAGCGACAACTTGGGCGTCGGAGACATTGGAGTTGCGACGGGGCGCGCATCGAGCATGTTTGTTCTGGTCAGAAGATCAATGACATACTTCTTCTGCATCAAATGCAAGCCCTTTGAGGTCCTGGTTGCCTCTATGCGCAGAAAATAGCTTAGCTCACCGAGATCTTTGAGTGAGAAACGAGTAGAAATGGAGTTGATGAACGCGTCGATGAGGCGATTGTTGTTGCCCGTGATTACCATATCGTCAACATAAACGAGGATATAGATAACATCTGACCCAGAATGGTATGTGAACAGAGATGTATCTGCAGTGGAGTTTAAAAACCCTTTAGTTAGAAGATACGACCTGAGTTCCTGGTACCACGCGCGAGGCGCTTGTTTTAGGCCATAGAGTGCTTTCTTCAAGCGACAAACATAGTGTGGACGGTCTTGATCAACAAACCCTGGTGGTTGTGTAACATAGACCTCCTCTTCCAAGGTTCCTTGAAGGAACGCGTTGTTGACATCAATCTGACGTAGACGCCATCCCTTAGTAACTGCAACATGGAACACTGAGCGCACGGTGGTTGATTTTATCACAGGACTAAACGTCTCTGTGAAATCATGTCCAAGTTGCTGGTGAAAGCCCTTTGCCACGAGACGAGCTTTATACCTGTCAAGTTCACCGTTAGCTTTATATTTAAGTGTAAAGACCCACTTACAACCAATGACATTCTGATACTTCTTAGGTGGAACAAGTTCAGAAGTGCCATTGCGTAACTGAGCATTTATCTCATCACACATTTCCTGTCTCCAGTTCTCATCTTTGAGCGCTTCAGCCACGGTTGTTGGTATTTTTGGTCTCAGTTTGGTGACGGTGGCAGTAAGGGAGGTTTTGGTTTTCGGCTTCGAGATGTTGTTCTTGGAACGGGTTTTCATAGGATGGAGATTCGGGTTTGGTTGTGGAGCTGGTGCTGGGGAAGTGGGTAGTGAAACAGATGGAGATGGTGAGGGAGAGGGGGTGTGGATTTGGTGTTGTGGTGATGAAGTGTTGGAGTCTAGCGAAGCTGTAGGCTGGGGATGGGGTGGTGTTTGTGGTTGTGGGTTATTAGATGAATGTGGCTGAAGGACTTCAGGAGGTGATTGAGCCACAGGTGGAGCTGGTGGCGGATTGTGATGATGAGGAGCAGAGCACGGGGGAGTAGAGTTGATGAGTGGCCGTACCGGAACCAATGTCATTGGAGCAAATTGAGTTCTCTTATCTGAAGTCTCAGCTGGAGCAGGCATACTTGAGAGTGGAGAGGCAAACGGAAACCTTTTCTCATTGAATACAACATGACGCGACGTGTAGATGCGACCAGATTCTCTATGTAGACAGAGATACGCACTTTGCGTCAACGAGTATCCAAGGAAAACACACGATGCTGAGCGTGGTTCCAGTTTATGCTTGGCATAAGGGCGCAACCAAGGGAAGCATTCTGATCCAAACACGCGAAGCTTCTGATAGTTTGGCGTTTGTCCAAATAGCTTTCCAAAGGGAGATTCATTTCCAAGGACCGGTGTTATCATTCTATTTATGAGATAAACAGCAGTGGTGAAGGCATAACTCCAGTATGACTTGGGCATTGAAGCTTGACCAAGCAGCGTTAGACCAGTCTCTACTACATGTCGATGCTTACGTTCGGAAATACCATTCAGTTCAGGCGTATGAGGAGGGGTCGTAAGATGCGTAATACCGTGAGTGGAGAGGAATTGACGCAGGGCGATGAACTCACCACCATTATCTGAATATAGAGTACCAATCTTGTGTTTGAATCTGTTTTCTACCAACGCCTTGAACCTGATGAACGTGTCATAGACTTGAGATTTCAACTTCAGTGGGTACAACCAGGTGTATCGAGTGTATAGATCAACAATAACCAGATAGTACTTGTAGCCATCGATAGACACGAGTGGCGAGGACCACACATCGGTATACAGATACTCAAGAGGGTGATAAGAGGCAATTGTGTTTGAGAAAAATGGTAGCTTGTGGCTTTTATTGATAGAACAATCCGAACAAGACAAATCGTTTGCAGAAGACAAAGAGACTGGTAAAGAGAATTTCGAAACTAAAGACTTCAAGACTGGTAAGGCCGGATGACCAAGTCGAGCATGCCAGGAGAGGAGGTCAGGTTTCTGCGATGGTGATGCAAAGAACGACATTGGAGAAGAAGACTGAACCGGCCACTCATACAACCCTTTCTTAGTTCTGCCTTGGAGCAAATGAACCCCCGTGCTGAGATCCTTCACCTGGAAATGTGCAGGAAAGAATTCAACGGAAACTCCATTAGTATTGCACATTTTATAAACTGAGATCAGATTTTTCGTAACATTCGGTACGTATAACACATCATTCAAAGTGAGAGAGCGATGAGGAGTAGGAAGAAGAGCTGAACCAGTGTGCGTGATGGGCATGCCCGTGCCATCAGCAGTCATGACCTCTTCTCCACCATTGTAAGGTTGATGGAGAGATAAATTGTTGAGGTCTGTGGTGAGGTGGTGTGTTGCTCCGCTATGCAGTAGCCAGTTATTGGCATTGTAAGCCGCTGCAGAAGCAAGATGAGCTCGAGGCTGCCAAGGAGCATGAGACGACACCGATGACTGGTTGGAGGTGCCAAAGTTTCCAGGAAGGTTGAGTTGAGAACACGTACGAGCAGTGTGGCCATGAATTCCACATATTTGGCAACGTCCTTGATATGGTCTCGGGGAGTAGCCGGGATTGTTGACGTTGTTCCTGCTGTTGCGATTACTCCAGTTGTTGTAAGAGCCACGGTTGTTGGATCTGCCATGACCACGGTTGTTGTTGCCACGGTAAGTTGCCACGTTCGCTGTAACTGGCAGAGGAGAAGCAGTCTCAGACTTCACCGCAAGCTTCAGTTCATGTTGAATGAGTTTCTCATGGATCTCCGTTAGAGAAGGAGTGGTGTCTCTACCCTCAATCTGATCAACCATAGTTTTGTAGTCATCAGGGAGGCCAGCGAGGATAAACTCGATCTTATCTTCATGATCAAGAGGCTTCTCAAGCAGTGCCAATTGATCAAAGCGATTCGTGAGTCCTTGCATATACTCTTCAATGGACTTTGTCCCCTTCGTCCACTGTTTGAGTTGTTGTCGCAGCTGGAGGAAATGTCCACTGCTCGGTTTAGCGTAGGTTGCAGAGAGAGTGGTCCATATATCTGCGGCAGTGGTGGTGGTGGAGAGGAGCGCTTGCACCGGAGGCGAGATTGCTCCAAGTAAAGCACTGTAGATGAGCTTATCTTGGCGTTTCCAAAGCACGTACTCATCGTTAGCAGTGACTTCGCCATCGACCGTATGAGTTGGTGATGGGATCTCAATAGAGCCTTCCACATAGCCGGCGAGATCATAACCATCGAGGAGAGAGTGGACTTGACGCTTCCACATGATAAAGTTGGTAGATGTCAGCTTCGTGACATTAGCCATGTTGACATTGAGCAACTTACGTGAGTCGGAGACAATGATTGTCTCGTGAGATGAAGCAGGGGATTCGGTAGACATGGTGGAGGAGAGAGATGAGATAAAACAGAGGATGAAGAAAAGAGAAGAAGCAGAGAGAGGTGTAGAAAGCGGCTAAAAAAAAGGTATCGTTAGGGCTCTGATACCATGTATGAAAGGAGGCTGAATACTTTATTAATGTGTAGACATACAGTATTTATACATGATACATAGGTCATTAGGTATTGACTAATTACAGTAATGACCCTCATAATATACATCGCCTATAGCCATGTCCCGGGGCTGGTTTGGTGCGAGGAGCAATGGAGAAAACGAACGAAGTTTCAAATGGATAAGGTGCAGATGGAGAAGAAGCGTTTGAAGAGGGCTTGAAAGGGACAGGAGAGGACCAAAGACCTTGGCCGTGAGAGAAAGGATTTGCGTCTCGGGTCATGGAGAGAGCTCCGGAGCGACTCACGCCATCTGAAGCTGGACCAAGCTCTGCATCTCCAAGGAAGGCTATGTTTGAGGTTTTGAGGCTGAGATTAACGGCGAAAGTGGTGTGAGCCACGAACAGAGCAATAAAACAGAGTTTATGAAGCTGCATTGTGTGTGCTATTGTTGATTGATTCTAATGAGTGTAAGAAACTCTGAGTACGATACGAGTAGTCTGAATACAAGTAGTTACAAAATCATACTACTGTATTAGTTTATACACGATTTCATCACGTGGATGAATGAAAACACTCTTGACCCTGTTATTTATTATCCACCATACCATACAAACAAGACCAACATCGTATAGAAAGTTACGTCATATTAAGTGAACCACAGTTACGTCACACCGTCCAAATGTCGTGTCGTGACCTCAAATGTCCGACTTAATATCCAGATTCCAGTGTCGACATTATTTTCCTTTCTAGTCCATTTGGTTCGAAAAGAGATCAGTATACATAGGCGGCTATTCCGTTCAGTTAGTTTGGTTTTCAATTAGTGCGGCTTAACATAAATCTTACTTAATGAATCGGAAATAAAGTTTGGTTTGGTTCTATATCGGTTAGTTTGGCTTTTGAAAATCCTACTAAGGATTTGACTGGTTCAAATGAACCGGCTGAGGTTGCAATTGTAGGAGTTTGAAGATGTGGGTGGTTGCGATTTTTTGTGGTTTTAAGAGATTTGTACGACTAGTATTATGATTATAAATTGGTGCATTTGCAGGATATTTATGACTGGTTAACTATCAAATGCATAGCGGTTAAAATATAAATTAACAATATTTATATTTTATATAATTATAAAAAATACCAAAAATCATAATCTTATAATAAATATAGAAATTATACTTATAAAGTTATAGTTTTAAATTTATAAAATTATTGAAAATATTTTTAATCTTTTAGTAAAATTAATTAAAATCTAATAGAAATAATTTAGTATTTTTATAAATCCACTTTTTTAAAAAAATATTAAATATTTTTTAATTTTGTATTTATATTGGTTTTTTTTAAAAGAAAAATTCACCCTCCCGCAACCGTCCGCAATCGCCAATGTTAGTTGGAACCATCTCTTGAATTTAAGAGGTTTAGAGCGGTCTGAGGCGGTTCATAGCGGTTTGAGTGATTGTTTCAAAACGCCAACAACCGCTACTAATCGTAAAAGCTGTGTTTAGGGGTGATAGCGGGGAAACCAGCGAGACCCTAAATGTTTAGATTTTGGTTTTATTTTGTTAAAGTTTAGATAATTTTGGTCAATTTCGGTTTGTTCAATTTGAAATTTCACTACAAAAAAACTAAGAAGTTATTAGGAAATTTTACTAGGAAAATAATTCCTCGTAAATTTACTACGAACTTACTTCGATTTTACGAGGAAACAAGTTTTCCTCGTAAGACCCTCGTACAAATACGAGAAACATATTTCCACGTAACACCGTAGTAAGCTTACGAGGAAATTACGTGGCAAAAGTCCATTTCCTCGTAAGCTTGTAGTACGTCAATTTCCTTGTAAAGTCCTAGTAAAGTATTACTACGAAATTAAGAGGAATAGATTTGTTATTACGAAATTAGGTAGAACTGGATAGGAAATATCGAATTTAAATCAAAAACGTGTTTTGTACCTACATTTCCTGGCAATTTCCTAGTAAATGCTTAGATTCGAAAATTTCTATAAATACCACAATTGTGATTCATTTGAAACACACCAAAAAATAATCAGCTATAAGCTTATCAAACAGAAAAACGTGTTTCCTCGTAAAGTCCTAGTAAAACATTACTACGAAATTAAGAGGAAATGTTCTTTTCCTCGTAATTTCGTAGTAAATTTTTTCCTCGTAAAGTCCTAGTAAAACATTACTACGAAATTAGGAGGAAATGTTCTTTTACTTCTAGTTAGAAAATATCTATTTTAAATCTAAAACGTGTTTTGAGTGTAACTTTCCTCACAATTTCCTAATAAATGTTCAGATTCAAAAATTTCTATAAATACCACCATTTGTTATTCATTTCAAACACACCAAACAAATAAAAAAACTCAATTCATAACTGAAAGGAGTTCACAGTCAACAGAAGAGTTTCTTATCAACTCGCCATAGCTTTTCCTCAAAGAAATAGCTTGGGGATTTTCCTCAGGTAGATAGTTCGAGGAAAGCTATACATGGTTGATAAAAACCGTTCTAATGATTGTATACTTCTTTTATTTTTTTTTAATTTGTGATTTGGGGTTTAGGAAGATGTAGAGGTATAAGTTATGGAAGTTGGTTTAGGTTTAGGGTTTAAGGTTTAGGGAATTTAGATTAGGTGGTTAGTTTAGGGAATTTATATTAGGTTGTTTAGTTTTGAGAATTTGGGGTTTAGGTGTAGAAGAGGTTATAAGTTAAGGAAGTTGTGGTTTGGTGTTTGGGGTTTCGAGTTTAGGGATTTACAAACCCTTTCCTCGTGAAACCCTAGTAAAAGAAAACACGGGACTCGCTGTTTCCTAGTAAATTCCTAGTAAAATGTTTCCTCGTAAAGTCCTAGTAACAGAATTACTAGGACTTTACAAGGAAACCTAAACGCGGGACTCGCGATTTTCTCGTAACCCTAAACGCAGGACTAGCTATTTGCTCGTAAAATTACGAGGACCTTACGAGGAAACCAAATTTCCTATATAAGTCGAGTCATCCGATTTCTCTAATTTGTAGCAATCTTCTCTCAAAATCCTCTTAAGGTAATATCTAATTCCTAGTTAAGTGATTAGATTAAGAAATTTAGATTAGGTGGTTAGTTTAGGGAATTTAGATTAGGTGGTTAGTTTAGGGAATTTAGATTAGGTTGGTTTAGTTTTTTTAACTGTTTTCTTAAATGATACTAGTATATCAATGATACTAGTTGTCGAGCCGGGATGACGACTTCGTTCGTCAATTTAACGAGGATGTTCGTAGTTTAGTTTTTTTTTTCTTTTTAATTATATATGAATTTAAAACTTAAATACTTAGTTATTTATAAAATATTTTGTTATTTCTTTTTTATTTATAATTTGGATTCTTTAATTTTTTAAAAATATATTATTTATATTAATTTTAATTATTTTTTTTAATAGGGAAAAATATTTCGAAGTAAATTCCTAGTAAAACATTACTAGAAAATTATGAGGAAAGTGGAAAAATATTTCGAAGTAAATTTCTAGTAAAGCATTACTAGGAAATTACGAGGAAAGTGGAAAAACATTTCGAAGTAAATTCCTAGTAAAACATTACTAGGAAATTACGAGGAAAGTGGTTACTACGACTTTACGAGGAAATGTGTCTCCACGCGTTTACGAGGAAAATGGTTACTACGACTTTACGAGGAAATGTGTCTCCACGCGTTTACGAGGAAAATTTTCCTCGTAAATTTACTAGGAAATTACGAGGATAAAGGCTTTAAGATGAACGATTCACGACAAAGCGCGTTTCTTCGTAATTTTCTAGTAAATGGTCATTTACTAGGAAATTACTAGGCAAAGCCGTCCTAGTAAAACTTGTGTTTTCTTGTAGTGTTTGGTTAGTTAGGTTCAGATTGTCGGTAAGGTTTGAGTATACAGTAGAACCTCTATTAATTAATACTCGATAAATTAATATTCATTAAATATCTCTATAATATAATTTTATAGTATCAAATTTTTTTGGTTCATTTAGTATATCTATAAATTAATATCTCTCTAAATTAATAAAAATATAAAATTTTGGTGTAGTCCCAACATTATTAATTTATAGAGGTTTCATTGTAGTTTTTATATTATTAAAAGAAAACTAAAGTAACCGATTGTCAAACCGAACTGAAAACCAACTTTAAAAGAAAAAAACTACTGAATCAAACCGAACTTATGATATTTTGGTTCAGTTCGAAATTCCATGCTAAGGTATGTATACACTTGGACAAATGGTGTAGAATACCAACGGAATGGTGTAGAATACCAACGGTTTTCTTTGTTCTTCTTTTTGTTGCAGGAAAATATGATTGTAGAGGTCTTGTAACTTGGATTACTCAAAAACGTTATTATGAGATATTCCACCAGTCTGGTTTAATCGGTTCGGTTCGGTTTCGTACCAAAAAAAGTTCGAACCGCGAGTGATTTATAAACGTTATCCAGAAAAAACGCAAAGTGACGAAGCAGAAAGAAACTACTCATGGCTATTCTCTTTACACCTCCACTACAATGTAGAACCTTCTCTCCTTCTGTATCCAACAAACACGTCCCCGGAGAATTCACTTCCTCTCCTCACTCCGTAAAGTTGAAAACTTCCGGCGCCGAGAACTGGTGTTCCCGTTTCCGGTCAAGATCTCTCAGCTTGGTCTTCTCTGGAGCTCTAGCTCTCGGTTTATCTCTATCCGGTTCGTTCCATATGATCCCTTCCTTCTCAAAAACACCATTGCTCTGACACAAGACTATCACCTATAGTGTATGTTAGCAAGTGGTGTATGTTAGCATTTAATTGTACAGTTACGGTGTAAGTTAGCTGATAAAGACTGAACAAGTTTAAATCTTTCTTTCTTTTTGTTTTGCAAGGCGTTGGAATTGCAGAAGCGGCGAAAGAGGGAGTTAACAAACCAGAACTGCTTCCAAAAGAGTTCACTTCTGTCATAGATGTTGCTGGTTTCCTCTCCGATGGCCAGGTTCTGTCTTGTCTTTGTGCTTTGGCCATTTTGGTTATAAATTTATAATGATGTTTTTGCTGTTTTGATAATTGTTTACAGGAGAAGAGAATTGCTGAAGAAATATCTGATCTTGAGAAAGATACAGGGTTTAAGTTGAGAGTCTTGGCTCAAAACTATCCTGTTACACCTGGTAAATGATTATAGTCTATGTTTTAAACGATCACCATATATAGGGTTTTTACTTAGTTTGATGACTATGTTATAGGACTAGCTATCAAGGATTACTGGAAAGTTGATGATAGCACAATTGTGTTTGTTGCTGATCCCACTTTTGGTATAACACACACACCTCATTGTTTATTTCTTTTATCCCATGATGGGGAAACTGATTGTGATTTTGAAACAGGGAACATATTGAATTTCAATGTTGGGGCTAGTGTTGATTTGGACATACCTCGTAGTTTCTGGAGTCGTTTAGCTGGGAAATACGGCAACATGTTTTACTGGAAAGAAAAGGTAATAAGAAAAGAAGCACAACACTCTTTTTTTTTGTTATGTATTCCCATGTCTCTAACTGTTAACAAGTGTTATTGTTTTGAAATATTTAGGGTGAAGATGCATCCATTGAAGCTGCAGTTATGGCAATATCAAGTTGCTTACGAGAACCCGTTGGTGCAAATAACTGTGCAGAGATTTACTGAAGTATAAACATCGAATCCTACATGTGATATAATCAGAGTATAGATGATGAATCTGACATCAACGCGTATGTAATTTTTGTACTTTTGTTATCGTACTGTATTGGTTTGTTGGTCGACACTCGAGAGTGTTAAAAGCAACAACTTTAGGGATCATTTGTCAAGACTCAAGAGTGTCGAGTGTTAAAGAAAATATCCCAAATCTTCTTTTCATTCTCGCTTTATTCATATCAGCCCACATGAATGAATCTCATTTGGAACCCATTATGATTGCCCGGCCCATGCTCTGTAGTTTTATAGCAGTCCACATATGACTCTTTGGGTGCAATCTTTTCAAAAGCTTATGAAACTGTTGTGAATTGTGATGTGATTTATAATGTTAACTTGTTGAGATTTGTATCGCCATTATATATTGAAAGAATTACACTAAGGGTCAGTTTTCATGTTTTTAATTTCATAATAGGACACTTTTTGCTCCTAGAGCACTTTGGCACAAGAAACCACACACATGAACTATTAAATTCCAAAACTACCCTTTCTCTCTCTTTTAGTGTCAGCCTTACTGTTTTGTTTTTGTTAATTATTTTGCTCCTTCGATTTCTTCTTCGTCTTCTTTCTTCTTGTTTATTATTTTTTTGTTTTTTTTTTTGTCAGCACTTGTTGTCTTGTTTATTATTTTGCTCCCTCAGATTTCTTCATCAATTATATTTATAGCTTATGGATGCATTTCTCCACTCTTCCTTGTCAAATTCCCAAAAAGACAATCACCGAACTAATAAATTTTTTAAGAAAATCACCAGCCGGAGACTTTTGGAAACAAACTCTAAAAAGAGATGATAAAGAAGGTGACGAAGCCGAGTTTAGAAATGAGATGGGTATTGAACTATGATTTATTGTTTCATGACCTGTTTCACTTTTTCCCTTTAGTTGACCTCAGTTGAAATTAGACTTTATGTGATAAAACGTTTGCATCTTTAAGGATTCAATGAGGCAATACAATTGAAATGGTCTCTCTCACTTGGTGTAGAATTGTTGAAAAATTTACATACTTAAGGATTAAGGCTCTCAAACTTATTATCATTGAGGAAAACAAGTACAAATCTTTTAATTTCATGTCTAAGACTCGTCCCAACATACTTGTTTCCCTATGCAAAAATATACAGAACTTAACTATCCATGTTTACATTTCATACATTTTGTACACGTGTACACTTAATTTGTATTGTACACCTATTTTTTATTTGGAATGGGTCTCAAATATATATTTTGTTTATTTACAAGGATTTAAAGATCATGAAATAAGCTATAAAAGGAGAAGTAATTATTTGATGGATGTGCTAAAGGAATTGCTATACAGAGTTTGGCTACATTACATACATTTTGTACACATGTACACCTATTTTTTATTTGGAATGGGTCTCAAATATATATTTTCGTTTATCTACAAAAGTTTGAAGATCATAGAAAGAAGCCATCAAAGAAGAAGTGATTATTTGATGGATGTACTAAAGGTATAGCTATTTAGAGCTTGACTATCCATGTTTATATTACATAGATTTTGTACACGTGTACACCTAATTTGTATTGTACACTTATTTTTTATTTGGAATGGATCTTAAATATATATTTTCGCTTATCTTTGAAGGTTTGAAGATCAGGGAAAGAAGCTATCAAAAGAAAAATGATTATTTGATGGATGTGATAAAGATATTGCTATACAGAGCTTGAATATCTATGTTTACATTACATACATTTTGTACACGTGTACACCTAATATGTATTGTACACCTATTTTTTATTTGGAATGGATCTCAAAATATATATCCATATCATCATGTACATTAAAAAAAGAGTCGAAATCTCAGAGTATCCATGTGGACACTACAAAAGTGTACAAGAACTAATGTATCTATATAGACATTCATATTCATCAAGAACTAATGTATCCATATCATCATATACATTAAAAAGTGGCGAAATCTTAGAGTATTCATGTGGACACTACAAAAAGTGTACAAAAACTAATGTATCTATATGTACATTCATATTCATCAAGAACTAATGTATCCATGTCATCATGTACATTAAAAAGTGTTGAAATCTTAGAGTATCCATGTGGACACTACAAAAGGTGTACAAGAACTAATGTATCTATATGGACATTCATATTCATCAAGAACTAATGTATCCATATCATCATGTACATTAAAAAGTGGCAAAATCTTAGGGTATCCATGTGGACACTACAAAAGGTGTACAAGAACTAATGTATCTATATGGACATTCATATTCATCAAGAACTAATGTATCCATATCATCATGTACATTAAAAAGTGGCGAAATCTTAGGGTATCCATGTGGACACTACAAAAAGTGTACAAGAACTAATGTATCTATATAGACATTCATATTCATCAATAACTAATGTATCCATATCATCATGTACATTAAAAAGTGTCGAAATCTTAGAGTATCCATGTGGACACTACAAAAGATGTACAAGAACTAATGTATCTATATGGACATTCATATTCATCAAGAACTAATGTATCAATATCATCATGTACATTAAAAAAGTGTCGAAATCTTAGAGTATCCACGTGGACACTACAAAAAGTGTACAAGAACTAATGTATCTATATAAACATTCATATTCATCAAGAACTAATGTATCCATATCATCATGTACATTAAAAAGTGTCGAAATCTTAGAGTATTCATGTGGACACTATAAAAAGTGTACAAAAACTAATGTATCTATATGGACAACCCATGTACACCGGAGGGAAGGGAGACAACCCATGTACACCGTATTATAATCCACATGTACACCTCCGACACGATATCCATGTGTACATCTTGTACCCAGAACAATCAAAATCAACATGTAGATTGAGATAATAAGATGAAACAATTTACGAATCACCATAGACTTCTCTGCCTCTAACATATGTAAGTCCTCTATATTTTATCTTTCGTAACTCAATCAAATTTCAGTAACGTACCAAATTTCTTCTCTTTAGCTTTATCGGCTTCATTATCCCATCTTCTTCGCCTTCATTATCAAATTTCAGTAACGGACCAAATTCCTTCTCTTTAGATTTATCGGTTTCATCGTCCTGTCTTCTTTTGTTACTCTCACCGTCATCTCCTCCGCCGTTATCAATTTCTCAAAGGTTTTATCTTTCCAATCGCTATATGCTCACTTCATCTTCTTCGACGAGGAAAAGAAAAATTGAAAACCATATCGCTTCTACCCAGAAAAAGTAGAGACTGTTGTTAGTCTCTGGTGTTTGTTTCTATTTATTGTCGACAATTTTCAACAAAATAAACGGACGTCGTTATACACAGAGGAGGAAAGAGAAACAAAAAGGGTATTTTGGAGTTTTTCTATGCTTAGATGTATGGGAATATGTGTAAAACTACCTCACTAGTAACAACTGTCCTACCACGTAATAAAAACTTAAAAAGTGACTCTGAATGAAAATTACTCTTATATATTAGGTTTTATCTGTTTCGTATTCTACCTGTTCTTTTTTTGTATCTTTTTAGTATTCTCCTTCGATGGAGTTTAAACTCTTCTAAGTTTAATACGACTATACGAGTTTGGTTTGATCAAAAATAAAATAAATATCTATTATGTAATTGCAGACACGACTATTCAACACGTAAAAGAGTGAAACCAATGTAATATAACTGGAAGTCCTAATGAGATTATCTTATTTGATCATATAAAAATCAAAGTCCGCCTAACATTGAATAATGTTAAGTTTCAAAGTGTTTGACAAGTTACAAAAACTAAATGGAATGGTCAAATTAGTTTCGATATTGTTTTGACAAATAGTCAGAATTCAAATAAATGTTTCTTGGACTATATTGGCTTCCCTCGTGTAACAGAGAGGCTCAATAGTCTTCCTACTAAAAAAAAAAAGAACGACTCCAGTAACGTGTTGATTCCAAACGACTTTTATCAGTGTTTGTTTTCTTTTCGGAAAATCGCATTAAAAACTTTTAAATTAATCTTTACTAACACTTTAAACTTTAAGAAAATCTCATTAGCACTTTAAACCTTCAAAACGATATTTGTGTCACAAAAAACTTTGAACTTAAAAATATGACATGTTGAACAGGTAAATAGATAATTTATCAAGTTTTTTTCAAAAAAAAATATTTAATAAATAAAAATTTAATAAACAAGCAAAAAAAATGAATAATTTGTTTCACAATCACTTTAAACCTTGAAAGTGACATTTGTGTCACAGAAAACTTTGAACTTGAAAATACGACCTGTTGAACATGTAATTTATCTTGAACTTAAAATTTTTTCACTAGTACTTTAAACCTTTAAAGTGACGTTTGTGTCAGAAAAAACCTTAAACTTGAAAAAATGACATGTTAAACAGGTAAAACAGGTGGTTTATCAAGTTTTTTCAAAAAAAAAATAAATATTTAATAAATAAAAATTTAATAAATAATCAAAAAAATGAATAGAAATCAATAAAATTTTCAAAAAAGTAAAGAAGATTTCAGAACATAAAGAAAAACTTATTAAAAATAATTTGAAATACCAAAAGAAAAGAAATCTTGTAATTTTTATGCAATTTCCAATAAAATTGATATATCATCGTTGACAAAAAAATTTCAAACATATCACTGTTAAAATTTATGGTTTCAAATAGTTAAAAATTAATAATTTTCAATTTTCAAAAACCGATTTTGAACTTTTGAGTTTTCAATTTTGTGAATTTTCTTTAATTTTTGTTTAATTTTCTGAATTTTATTTAATTTTTGGCATTTCAATTAATTTTTTAATATTTTTTCTGTATGTTCTAAAATTTTATTTATTTTTTTGAAAATTTTGATTGATTTTTATTATTTATTATATTTCTATTTATTAAAATTTTATTTCTCTGAAAAAACTAATAAATAAAATAGGTAGTTTATCAGGTTTTCCGAGAAATAAATATTTAATAAATAATCAAAAATTAAATGAAAATCAATTGAATTTCCAAAAAAGTTCATTTTTGTGAATTTTCTTTAATTTTTGTTTAATTTTCAGAATTTTATTTAATTTTTGGTATTCCAAATTATTTTTTATAAATTTTTCTTTATGTTCTGAAATTTTATTTATTTTTTGAAAATTTAATTTATTTTATTAATTTTTTATTAGTTATAAAATTTTTCTTTATTAAATATTTATTTTT